TGTCAAGTGTCATTATATATATATATATATATATATATATTATTTTTTGTATATTTATATACCATCTTAATTAAATTTAAGATATATATTTTTATGTATATTTCAGATGACACTTGTCTAAGTGTCATCTTAATTGAAGATGTATTTTTTATGTATTTGTTTTGTATATTTTATATGCGTTAATTCAAGGTATATTTTTATATATATGTATTGTATATATTAACGTATATTATTATCGAAATAAGAACTTTATATTAAGAAAGGAAGAAAGAAGTAAGAGCACTTGGTCCTTAACTTTGATTTACAAGTTCAAAAGTTAAAGACATTTGGTCCTTAACTAATACTTAGAAGCTCAATACACATAATTTAGGGATTGCAAATGGACAAATCAATACTTGACAGAAACAAAGAAATTAATAACATGATTCCTTTATATTACTTCTGAAACTGTAATTTGGCATAGCCGTGACCAAAAATTATACTATGCAAACAAAATAAAAGTGCCTTCTGAACAATTTACAAGATATTTCAGAATTCATATGGATTCTTTACAGCTATTTTATACAAAAAATCAACTACTGCTAACTTTCTTTACAACTAAACTACAGCTCCTTTGGGCAGGAAGTTTCATTTTCACTATCGTAGTCGTCGCCGACATTTTCTGGTGGTGTATCATAACCAGAATTTCTTTTCCACTCTCCATGTGCCCAAAGATTTGCTGCAAGTTCTTTTCTAAATTTTGTTATGTCTTCAGGTTGTAATTTCTTCACATCCTTTCCCATCATCAATAACTCCACATACTTGATAAGGAATGCACCACAATCAGTCCTAAAAAAATATAAGATATGGAGTCAATTAAACAATATCTTTAATAAAATAAATCTAAAGTACATATAAATTATATATCAAATGACAACACGTACTATCCAGTTTGGTGTGGTGATCTTTGCCACTAAATATCAAATTTGTTGAATGCATTTCAAAAAGACTTGTGATTTTTCTCAAACTGTGAGACTTTAGCGAAGTGGGGGATCATNAAGAGAAAAACTTAAGAAAGATAACTAAAAATAAAATGAATGGAACAAATTTAAAAAATATATTGGCTTCGGTAGAAAACAAAACTAAGAAGATGAAGAAAAAGAAGGAAAGCTAATAGATAAAGAGAGAGAGAAAAAGACATGATTTTTGTACAAATAATTATTAACTTTCCATTCAAATTTCTTATGTTTAGGGATTAATAGTTAATATTTCTATTTTAATGGAACTGTGTGCTACAAATATAAATATTTTCCTGCCATATCTGTAATATTGAATTTAATGCTAAAAATTTATTATATTTCTTTTAAACTGTGACAGTTATGTAAAGTCCCCAATAATTTAGCAATCAAAGTAAAAACTATATGTTTCCGATTATTTTTATTGCCCTTTGAGCAAAGAGTAGTTGAATTTTCATGCATAGGGTCCTAGACTCATAGTTTATACCTACCCTAGTTTAATCATTGTGTAAAAAGTCATACATTGTTTGTGCACAAAAGTGAAATTCTTTCAGTAAATCTTCTTATCACAGTAAGTAAATAAAGACTTGGATCACACTGGGTATGTTGTCGTTTCATTGTAATGTCACCATGTTCCTATGATTTTTACATCGATCAACAGATTAGATCAAATAATTTTGATCAGCTTCCCTTAAATTAGCATACACGATGCGCTATATCTTCGCCAAAAAAAGAAAATGTTATAGATCACTTAATTGTGTTCAACTCTGGGACAAGTCCTCATGTCGTTAACAGTCCCTTTAGTCTGTTTAAGTATATGCAGGTCTAAATTTAGAGACCTCCAAATTATAGAATATCCTAATGTAACAGCTCCAGGTAGGAACAAGTAGTTTCATGTCAACCCCAACTAGCTTGGGACTGAAAAGCATTAGTTGTTGTGACTGCTGGCAACTCCTCAGCAGTTGTTAACCATCAACACAGAACATCCAAAAGGCACAATAATGAATTAGGCTTCAACCGAAAATGTTCATATGCACAACACTCATTGAAGTAACTTTCTTCTTTGAAGCAACAATAGCATTCACATAAACACTTAGCTACAGAAAACAGAAATCGCTTTATTTATGGAGTAAGTTCACGAGACTGATATACTAAAAAACCAACTGACTATTTGATCCTCTAAGCAGAAGAAGATTTAGCAAGTGCTCCAGCCTCAGTTAGCAGAGGAACAAGCTTCCCTTCCCTGTGCAAAGCAGTTGTGGCTGCAAATGAGGGGAAAAAAATCAACTGCTGCATGAGTTCAGAAAGATCGACTTCAAAGTGCCTTTAGGATTATCTTCTCATAATTATGACTAGAATTTTTAACCATAGGAAAAGCAAAAAGAAAAAGGCGAAGATCATACCGTCGCAGCCACCAATGTGCTTCCCCCCAATGAAGACGTTTGGCACAGTGCGCTGACCAGTCCACTCAGCCAGTGCTGCCTGGATCTCACTTCCATCCTCTACATAATCAAATAGAATCAACAGACTGAGAAATAACAGTAAGATTGCACCAATTTACTCAGTTAGCTATCTGTCCTCAGAATAAATTCATTTTATACTGAAGAATATAGTTGGTTTGAAACTATGGACAAGGAATACATGCTCAGAAACTTTATCCGTCAGAAGAATTACAGCTAAAAAGGTCATTTTAGACGGAGCAAATTGCTTAAACAACATTATTAAATAATTAGATTTTCCAAATTGCCTTGCATTGCTAGCAAGATGTATGATAAATCAATGATACATCTACACAATTATAGCAAAATGCACCAAATTTCGCTCCACACAACAATGAGAGGCTACATCCTTTCACATAGTTAACACAGAAAGTCCAATTTAACAGTAGCTTATCAGGTGGTGATATTAAAATCCGAGTTTTAGCCGACGACTACAATCCTTCAAGAACATAAGTACACATTATCAACATAGACAAAAGGTATGTCAGAATTTCATAGTACTGGAAATGAAAAAAGAGGACCAATATATGTCGCTACAAAGTTAACTGAGCAAGCTAGCCAAACTTTTGTGCTAAGCAAGCTATATGACTAGCTTCCCTAGTAAGGTAACCTGTGTCAAATCATGTGTTAGTGTAGCTACTTGCCTATATTGTCTTACAAACAGCTTGCTATACTCTTATTTTCTTTTCTTTTTGTAATGGTGGTACCTCACCTCGACTATTCTGATACCTGCTAACTCCCACCAACACAAGGCATATGGAGATGGGAAGAAATCACCTCGTCAACTTGCTATACTCTATTAGAGTCTCTCTTTCGAATTGTTATCTCTAGACCACTCGACTATTCCCTCGGAATTATACAAAGTTCGAATCATAAAAAAGACTTTGACAGTTAGAATGATGGCTACAAGATTTATTATCTAGCAAAAAAAAAAAAAGAAGCGAATAATAAATTTTCTTTCGCGTAAAATTACAAAACGATTGACAATCGAAATTGCAAATCAGAAGCAGAGGCCTTACTTTCAGTATCTAACTCAACGGCCTTGAACGAAGCACCGAGCTTACTCAGCAAATCCTTGACGCTAACGCAGAACGGACAGTACGTCTTGCTGCAAATCCAATTGACAACATTTCAGATCAAACAAACGTTAATAACATTTCAGATTTTTACAAAATACACAATTAAACAGATATAGAGAGGTGACCTGAAGACCACGACTGGATTAGCAGAAACAACTTCCTTAGCCTTGGCAAGTGCCATCTTCAATCAATTTGCTTTTCAAAAACCCTAGATTATGTTGAAGAATTCCTAATTTTTAGTAACGAATGCTTTCCTGAAGCTCAATTTATATTATTTGACACGACAGGCAATGGCCTTGCCGCAAAAGAAAGAAATAGAAAGACAAATTTGTCCCAAAAATATTCTGGGCCCACAAGATTTTATTACCGTGTATTATCACTTTTAGCCCGTGCCAAAAACTATTTACATTTGATAGCCTAAAAATTATATAAAATTTGTATAATTTTCGATTATTATTTTTACATCGACTATAAAGTATATCATTTTATCATTTTATTATTCGACAGTGGCCAATCCATTAACGACTCCAGAATATTGTAGTGGAAACGACACTAGGTAGCCTCTTTGAAGTATGATGTTTAAATTTTATTCATAGTTTATGATATATTTAAAGCTTAGTCAATTCCACACAACATCCTCAAGGTCCAAACTTTATGACATCATAGTCTAAAGTTCGAAAATTGTGTAAAATATTCGAATCTTATGTCCTGAATTTTAAATTAACAATTCAGAAATTCAAGATACCAAAATTCAGAATATTTAATTTTGAAGTTTGGGTAAATTTGGCTAGTCTATAAATATATTATAAATTATGAATATAATTTTAAACAGCAAGCTTAAAAATGGTACGTGCACTTCACCCAATATTTTAGGGTCAAAGCCTCGAGAGGATTAATGGCTGGACCGACATTACTCGTTCGCACGCACAAACGTAAGAATTTATCAACTAATACACGATATTCAATAGTCGTCACTACGTACGTAAATGACTATGCTTTTATTTTAATTGTTTACAACAGATGAATAACCAGTTTGTCCCAAAATTTTAAGTCTAAAAATGGTGGTCATATTCGGTGGATATAGTATATTGTGTAAATTTAATTCACTTTCCATCAAAATACGAAAGTGGTTGTATTTTAATTGTCTTTTGGTAATGTAGAAGTCACAGACCACCTCTACATTTGGTACGCCTTGGTGCTTCGAACTTTTACATTTTACGTTTGTCTGAAATTTTATGTTTTTCATTTAGAAGGCATCCTTTTAATCTATTTGAGGCATTAAAATGTTTATATTTTAAAAAAAACTTACACTAGTTGAGGCATTAATACATGTGTTCCTTAAGTCCAATAAGACTCCTCCTTTTTTTTTTGGTGGAGGGTGACTTGAATAAAAAGGACAAATAAAAGTTTAATTTGCAAAGGATAAGTAACAGCAACAAAAACCCAACTGAGAATGTGTAGCCACTACCTACAGAGCTATATATGCCCAGAGTCGAAGAGGTCTACACATGAAGAATCACATGCTTCTATTTAAAAGAGTTAGACTTGACTTGTCTCGTAAATAGTAGAAAAGAACATTAGCTAGAACACCGGCACAATGACATAAAATTGACAAATGGCCGAGAAATGGCATATTTATTTGAGGATCTAAGTCGCCCGAGCATGAACCACTCAAAGAGATGTTATCTCCTATCTAAGCAGATTACAGAAACTAGTCTAAAAGAATCTTCATTGGCGGCATATTGATTTATGTTCACTGTGAAAGGTATGAGTAGGAAGCAAAAAATATGTGATGATTTGCTGCTCATGATCTGTTTCATCTCATACAACTGCGGAGGCACCAAGCTTCTCTTGAAGTTTCTGTGCTACAGCATCAATAAATTCTTCAGTGTTCAAGTAGTGTTCCCTTGATACCCTGCACAAGTACAATCACCCAGAGACTGAGCTTCATAAAAGTTCAGAAAAGACAGACACAAACTATCCATGTTAAGACCTCTCCGTTTGATTTAACTTGCTAACTGAATCAGGTCTTAGCGCCATAAACATTTTTCATAGAATCTTTGACTGGTAAGAAGGTAAAATCATTCTTCAGAGTTGTTCAAATTGACCTAAAGCTATGGAATTTACTGTTAACACAATATGTCCTTGTCCAGAATAATCTCATCTCCATATAATATGAGAACCTAATATAAAAAGGACCCCCCCCCCCCTTCCTGTGACCCAGGAGTAGGGTGAGGGATTGCATTCAATTAGAGGACATATTTAGGAATTTCATGTGTGTGGTAAGGAACAAGAGCAGGAGCATACAGGCCGTACATTTGATACTGAAAGAGTAAACCAACACTTACTTGGGTCCATGAACCAATATAGCTAAATCCTTAGTCATCTTCCCGGACTCTATTGTGCCAACGCAAGCAGCTTCCAGGGCGTGAACAAATTCAGACAACTTATGGTTCCCATCAAGGTGAGCCCTGCAGATAGATCAGTGCGTATCTTTTAGGCTTTGAGAGACAGATTCATTGACATCAGGATATCATAAACATTTACAAGGATAATATAACTGAGTGGTGCATCTAAAGCTGAGAATCGTTGCTAAGCAACAACAAAGCTCCCCACAAATATTCTCATTTGGACCAACTAAGATCTTCCAACTTTAATTGCCATCTGATACATAAGGAATTAAAAGGTGAACACTTCTTGAATCCCGGTGAGAGATATGTATATGTTCTTTTTCCATATAGAAGACCCACCCCTTTAGTTTTTTCTTCCATATCAGATAATGACCACTTCCCTGAAAGGAAAATAGAATGGAAAAGCAATGTAACCAGTATAGCGTTCGGGGTGCCCCAAACCATAACAAAATAGGCTTTTTCATTTCACAACTTCCCTTAAACACGTCAGCTTCTCCGGAATATTTCTTACTTCTTGCTCTATAGAGAGTTCTTTCATCTATAGAAGGGCAAAAATGAAAAAGAAGCAGGAAACACTTCTAATATTCTTTGACTGTGTGAGGAAGTAAACACGACTCACAATATGGGACAGAAGAGTGACGCAAAATTTCTATCCTAATTATAGGGCCAACATGAGATCAAGCAGGCAAAAAGTTCATAATTCCACCTACTCTTGGTAATAGTCTTAGAGAATTGAAGCAGAACTCACCTATGTCCAAGTCCCCTTGTCCATGCAAAAATAGAAGCAACACTATTTGTACTAGTTTCTTGACCCTTTTGATGCAGCCGAAAATGTCTGGTTACTGTGCCATGAGCTGCTTCAGCTTCTAATGTCTTGCCATCAGAAGATAACTGCAAAAGTAGATACATGATGTTATAAGGCAGAGCAATGGGTGTGCCATGGTACAATACAATGAAAGCTCGATAGGACGATACTGACCAATACAGAGGTCATGAGGCCCAGAGAACCAAATCCTACATAATCAAAAACAAACTCAGTTAAGACTGGAAATAGTTGATGTAGCAACTGTGTTGCTGCACCAAATTAAAAACTTCAACTAAGACATGAATTTCAAAAGAATAGAACGAAGTCATAAAGTACAGTCATTGGAATCACCTTGAGCGAGCAGATCACTCTGGACATCCCCATCATAGTTCTTGCAAGCCCAAACATATCCACCCTCACTTTTTAATGCATAAGCTACCATGTCATCTATCAATCTATGCTCATACCTATATGCCAGTGACAGCTTTCAACCAGTATTGCAACAATTCCAGAAATAAGCTACGAAAAAGCCCTTATTAATCTCATAGAGAACCAACCATATCGAGTGTTCCTCAAACTGTTGCTTCCACTTCTCTTCATATACCTCTTCAAAAATGTCCTTAAACCTGGCACAATGAAGTTTGACATTTGATAATTCATCTAAACTCTTTAAAAAATAAAATTTGGAGATCCCAAGTAGCAATCCTATTAAAATTGGAAAAGAGGGAATTTTTAAGGACTGGAAGGGTAACTACAAGAGCAGCATAAATTGAAGGATACCTTCCATCGTATTTCTTTAAAATTGTATTTTTTGTACTCAAGTAAAGAGGCCATTTCTTCGAAAGTGCCATTGACATTGATGATTCAGCAAACGCTCGAATTGACTAGCAAATTTCACCAAAGCAAAAGAATAAGAGAGAGTGAGGAAAAGGGCATGAAAGTGAATTAGCAAAGTCATTTATTATAGCATAGCGAAAAAAGAAACCTGGTCAACATTGTACATGGCAAGTGCAACACCCGGACCTTTAAAATGATAAACATCCAGTTCCGTAGGGGCTTCCCCATTTTCTGGCTCTGAAAACAAAACAAACAAAAAAAAATTAAAACAAAACTTGAGCATATCTATTAGCATGCATATGTTTGTATCTCTATGTTTTGCCTCGTAAAATTAATGGACAGAAATCAATTAGCTCACCAAAAACCATTTTGAGCTTTCCGGGTCCATTAATAATTGCATCTGTGGCACGATACTGGTCACCAAAAGCATGCCTACCAATACAAATGGGTTTCTTCCAACCTGCAGATCTCAGAGGTTAAGCACTGACGAGACTGGTGATATTAGACTTATACCAAGGAGTGGTTCAAGAAAATGTTACCAGGAACAATTCTGGGGACGTTCTTGCATAGTATGGGCTCCCGGAAAACAGTACCTGAAGGCAGAAACTATCATCTTTCTAGCAATTACGGGAAATGAATTTAGAAAGTATCACATCCATTCTTTAATTATCTATTAATTGAACTTTTTCTTTTTGACAAGCCGAAAGCTCGAATAGGAACCAGGTATTTCTGAAATAACATATAATAAAACAGGGTATAATCTGTTCACTTAACTCATAGTACAAGCCCAAAATATTGTAGAGCTCATGTCCCAACAACTCTAGTACAAAGCCTGCTATAGTTACTTATTTCCTTTCCATGCAATGATTCGTTCAGTGTAAATTATATGTAATGCCACTGGAAATGTGTTTGTACTGTCACTTCATGTAAAATAATAGTAGCATATGGTATCTTATGATTCAATCAATAGCCACTTGTATCTACCATCTTTGATGTTTCATGAGATTAACATAATGACATCTCTAGGAGGAAAGTTTCCCGGCTACATCAATAAAATCCCCGTTAAGAGCCAAATACTATCATATTATGATGGATGCACATCGTACATAAGAATAGCATGAACTTGTTATTGCAATACAAACAAATTGAATTGCATGCAAACCATTTAAAATGTTTCTGATTGTGCCATTGGGACTTCTCCACATAGACTTCAGCCCAAATTCCTTGACTCTGGTCTCATCTGAAACATCAAAAGTAGGTAAATAAGTAAGTGTTGCAATGCAGTTTGCCAACTTCCCACATAATTTCATGTACTGTCATTCAAACTCGCTTATACGAGAGAACCATAAGTGAAACTAGATAACTACCACTTAAATGAAACACTTGGAATAAAGCACGATTTTTTTATTTAAATATTTCAAATAATCAGAAATTTCCTCTCCTTTAAACTTCCTCAGATGCTATTCTAAAACCAAAAAAAAAAAAAAAAAATTGAAAATGATAACTGACCAGGTGTTATAGTAGCGCATTTCACAGCAACATTATACCTGCACAATAAAAGACTATAAACCCAATTCTGTTTTGGAACTAGAATCTACTTGAGAAATTAACTCCAATTTTCCCTACAACAATCTTTGGTGTGAAATACAGAAGCATTTGCCAAAAAAAAAAAAACTGTAGGTAACTTCTCAAACTAGTACATTAATCTACTTCAGTTCAATGATGGTTTTATAAATTATAAGCTGTCATCAATTGTAGCGGAAAAAAACAACAACATTAGATTGCCTAAAGCAACGAATTCCTCAATACAAAACAAGGGAATGAAGGCATAAATGAAGGTAGAACAACAATTAATTCAACTCACTTAAGAGTAGCCTCAGCACTTTCAACAGTAACTTGATCGCCAGTGGCATCACGGTTCAATATCCCCAAATCGTAATACTTCGTATCCAACTCTAGATAAGGATATATTAGCTGCCACCAAAGCAAACACGCATAATTAGATATACAAAAGATAAACCGTGGAAGCATGATAAGAAAGAGAAAGCAAAAGCCCAAAACAAAATTAACGCATAATTCGAAAAGCTAACAATGACTATACCTTGTCTTTGATCATTGTCCATATAACCCTCGTCATTTCATCACCTGCAAAAATATAAACAATAAACAAAGTAGTAAAAGAGTTAATGAATGAATAACTAAACATGTGCTTTTGCACATCTTAATTGCAGTAAATTTACCGTCCATTTCGACAATGGGATTTTCAACGCGGATTTTAGACAAAGCTGTAGCGGAAGCGAAGCATCGAATTGAAGCATTGGGGATTCGGTGGGGGAGATAAACACGGCTATTGAATAGCTGCCGATTGGAAATGGTTGAAAAAGAAAGGTTTTTGGTAACTGCGGATGATGTTGAAGCCGATGCAGATGAGATAAAAGAAGCAACACCAGCCATGGCGGAACAGCGGAGTCTGAGTCGGGCGGTGAGCATAACACTTTTGTTGGCTATAATCAGTTGCCGGTTTTTGCTGCTCTGAGCAACTCTCTATTGTCTTTGTCCGCCGTGCACAGATTGGGCCTCCACTCGAGGCTTCGCTGCTCCTTTTCCTTTTTTCAGTGCTTTGGACTCGAGGCTTCGAAAGCATCTTCTTTTGCGTTCGCTTTTTGTTAACCACAAAAATAAAATTATTTACCCTTATCTACCCATTTTGTTTTCCTAGCTATAAACTAATTATATTTTCTACCCATAGTAAATTTTGCGAGTAATTTTTTCTTAATTCTCCAATTCTTTTTTATTTCTACGCTTCTTTTCTTTTCCTTTTTCTTTTTTTTCTTTTCTCCTTTTTTTTTCCTCATTTTCTTCTTCTTCTTTTTTTCTTTTTTCCTTTTCTAATTTCATTTAACTTCCTTTTTTATATTCTTTTTCTCTTCATATTCTAATTTCATTTACTGTTTTCACTGTTTTTCGTTATTCTTTTTTTAATATATTACTAAAAAAAAATCAAATTGTGTACCAATTAAATGTAGCTAATACAACCAAAATAATATTAACTAACATATGATACCAGTATAGTATATAGCTATACCAATAGGGTATACAATTGTATGCAAAGAGTTAAAAATAATTTAGTTCAATTATTAAAATAAAATAATATCAGTTGTCAATAAAAAATTTAAAAAATTCTAAAAGGATCTAATTGTAGAGTATACCGTTACATCATATAGCATACTATAATTTTTTATTTTTTTGCATTTTTCAATTTGCCCCTCACGCTGGGTAAAAGCTTAAAACAAATTAAAAGGGAAAAAGCAAGTGAATTTACGGGTAATAAGTATACTATTATAGCATATTGTATACTATTACAGCATATTGCTACAGTATCTTGCATATTATTACAGTATACCATAACAATATATTGTATACTATAATAGTATATTGTTGCAGTATAACTATATACTCCTATAGTATATTAGTATACTGTAGCGGTATACTGTTTTGTAAACTATAATAGTATAGTTTTGCAGTATAGCTATATACTCCTACAACATATTGTATACCATAGCGGTATATTGTAGCTGTGTTCTTCTTCGATTTTCAACTGAAAATTTCGATCTCAATCACCTCAAATCAGCTCCAAACGCTATCAAAAATCATTATGAACTTCCAGAAGGTACTATAAGCAATATTTAACATCACCCACTTTGAATCAAACAAGGAATCTTCAAAAATAAAATTGAGCTTCAAGCCCAACAATGGTGGATATTCAAATACACAAAAATCTAGATCTAGGAAACCAGAAAAACTCAAACTTTCTCTTCTAGCTAAGGATTCTTTCACCCCCTCTCTCCATTTCCTGCTCGCAACGCTCGTACTACAAACAAGTAGCCAAAAAATGACAAAATAAACACAACAGAAACAGAAACAAAGGGATAGATTCGGAAGAAAAAGTAGAGAAAAAAGAATTAAGTAAATTAACTGAGCCAAATCCTTGAAACAAGTAAGCAGAGAGAAAATCGCAGAAATAACAAAGGGCTTCAAAATTCACACACACATAAAGAAAAATTAAAGAAGAAGAAAGAAGGAGCGAAGTTATGTGAGCTGTGGAATAGAAAAATAATAAAAATCTAACAAGTAGGAGAGAGAAAGAAGAAGATGAAAATAAAGTCTGGTATCTTTTCGTCGTGTCATTCACACTTTGAATCAAATGGGAAGGCAAATAGCTGTGGGCCGGGTAAATAGTCTTGATTGCATATGTAGGAAAAGTAAATAGTTTAGGTTTGGGTATTTAAGGGTAAATAGTTTGGGCTTAATGGGTATAAAGTGAGATTTTCTCTTTTTTTTTTTAAAGTCTTAATGGGCGTTTGGACATAAGAATTTGTAAAATTAAAAAAAATGGTGAAATTTTCAAAGTTAAAATGGTATTTGAAATTTAGAGCCGTGTTTGGACATGAATATAATTTTGGGTTGTTTTTGAAGTTTTGTGAGTGATTTGAGTGAAAATTTTGAAAAAACAACTTTTTAGAGTTTTTCATATTTTCAGCTCGTCGAAACTACCGCCTATCGATTGAAATTTCCCTCCTCAGCCGAAAATTTTCAAAATGCATCTTCAAGTAGAAATTGGAAATTTTACGAACAAACGTTGATTTCGGAAAAAATTGAATTTTTTTTTGAAAAAAATGAAAAAATTGGGCTCTTAATCTTATTAATGTTTACTTTTTTTTTTCTTCTCTTAATCATCTTTTGTGTTAAGTTAACTGCTTACCATACTATTGGTTCAAGGAATTATTTAAAAAGTCTCTACTACAAAGTTTTATAAGTACTTTATTTAGTTTGAGTTTCTTTTTTGTCATTTTCACTGTCAAGGTAACTAGTACTGAAATAACTACCATATTATATATTTTATAAAAAATGTTAAAATTAATATCACAAGAATGTAGCCCCTATCGTATGTAAAAAGATTTGGAAGATTAAATTTAGTTGCCAACTCAAGTCAATCATTTGGTATATTATTCCAAAAAATTGATATAAGATCTATTATGAAATTACATATATTCTTTTAATATATTATTATTTTATATGTTAGAGTCTGAATTTTATTATTTGAAAGTTAAAATTAATAATTTGATGTTTAAAGATAGGTAATATACTAATTATATTAAGTATCTCATGTAATGTTAAAGACAAGCCCCTAAAAGCAAAAATCTTTAAGACAATACAAAGAGGAAAACATTTAATTTTCATGTTTGAGAGTTGAGACTAGAAAAGATGCATTTATCTGCAAAAGCTATATCCCTAAATTCAAGGGTATGGTTTTCATGTATCACTAATATATGGATTTTTTCATATTTTATGGTGATAAATAACATATACTAGTATGCAACTTCTTTCATAAACTATGCAGGGAGTTTGATACCTCGGCAAATTATTTTCAATTAAACATCATTAAGTGTTTTTAATTTTCTACAAGAATTTTTAAAAAAAATCTCTAAAAACACACTGAGAAGTCTTTTTCCATTTTTTTGCAAACAAACGCAGGAAAGTACACCAGCCCCGTCTTTAGTGTTTCCTAAAACCCCCAGCCTCCTTCACTGAAAGAACCTTAAACCCTACAAAGGCATCTTTCCCCTTTGTTCAATTTCCATTAGTCACTTTCACTCTCTAATGGCGTCTGTAAGAAACAAAGTAAATCCACTTTTGATACCGTACGTCCTCACATGGCGAAGATTCGGCTTCCGTACAATTTGCAGCGGTCGTACTGGCTTCGCGCCGTCCACGTCACCATCATTCGCCGATGCAGATACTCCTCCTGTCGCTGGCAAGAAAGTTCTGGAAACATTCGCCGAAGAATTCGAGATTGGATCACGCAAAATTACTCTAGAAACTGGAAAAATTGCGAGGTTTGCTAATGGTTCTGTAGTTTTAGCCATGGATGAGACTAAGGTCCTCTCAACTGTCGCTTCATCTAAAGGCGATGCAGCTCGTGACTTTTTGCCTCTGACAGTATGTTCACCACATTTCTGCATTTTTTTTAAAACTTATTATTCTTTATATTGTGTAGCTTGAAGGCACTGAAAATGTGCAAAATCTAAATGGCAAAGACAGACCTTTTTTTTTATTTGAAAAAGCCAAAGATACCCTCAAAATTTTCAATGTGCATACTCATATATGTAGGGCAGGATATCCAGCATTTTCTGATTAAAAGTTTGGGAGGTAACCTTTTGGCGTTTCACCTGATGAAAGTTAAAGAAGCAAACTTTATGGTTGTAACTGAAACCTTTTGATTCCAAAGTATAGACAGAAACACTTGTAGGAATTTCTGCTGCTTGCATGTAATGTTGGAGAAGCGAAATATGTGCATTCTAGAAATTGAGCTGCAGCAAGGCATATCTGTGATACCAGTGTTGTTAAAGGCTGCTTAAAGCGCACTTAAGCCCTGAAACCCGATGAACCCTAGGTTGTTGGCTTTGCCTCGCTTAATGGCGCTTTAGTTTAGCCGTCAAGGTGCTAAGGCATGTGTGCATTCACCCATGGGTTCTGTCTTAAAGGGCACAACAACATATATATCCTTAAGTGTAGTTTATTTTTTGTTTTTTCTTTCGCTAAAGCTCACGCTTTAATTGCACTTAAAGTTCCAATCGACTTTAGCATTATTTTTTCTCTTTTGACTTCTGGTGATATGTGGATACTGCGAAAATGATGGAAATAGGAGGTCAAACTACAATAGATGGCTTATGGTTTGGTAATAATTGGCGCTGCACATTATGTAGTACTTATGGCTTCAATATCTAAGGACAGATTAGGTGTGTTTCCCTTTTTCTTGTTTTCCCTCTCTTCCATGCACTTTGTACCTTCTCTGTTTTCCTATTGATTGATACTTGTAAATAATTAGTCTGAACCTTTGTTCATTATGTGGTCATGAGTGCTGATAATGTTTGCTTCTCTTAGGTTGATTACCAAGAGAAACAATTTGCTCAAGGTGTTATTCCTACAACATACATGAGGAGAGAGGGTGCTCCAAAAGAACGTGAACTTTTATGTGGCCGTCTTATTGATCGACCCATAAGACCACTTTTTCCATCTGGATTTTACCATGAAGTGCAGGTAAAGCTGTCATCATCTCATTGCAATGCACTTGATAATAATTGTTCATTGAAGTCTATGACCTTCTCTGACTCACATTACTTTTTTCTCCCCAGGTAATGGCAAGTGTTCTTTCGTCGGACGGGAAACAAGATCCAGATGTAATGGCAGCTAACGCATCATCTGCTGCTCTAATGTTATCGGATATTCCTTGGGGTGGGCCAATTGGAGTAATACGTATTGGAAGGATTTCTGGTCAATTTGTTGTAAATCCAAGCATGGATGAGGTAATATCGTATTTTAGATGGCATCGTTAGAATAAATTTATTGCGTTTAAGACTTTTTCGATTTCAGCAAGTCGACTTTCATTCTGGTGGCGGTTACGACTTTGACATCTTGAGAGCTTAAGGATTCAACTTTAGCATGAATGTTTCTTTTAGGAAAGTCTGCAATTATACTATTAGAAACAGGGCCAAGTTATTTGAGATTTTCAAAACAGTTTGTATCAGGAGTAGAAATTATGTTTTACCTTCAGTTAACCTTGATATCCTGGTGTGTAACATAGTTTAAAC